CACAGTCTTCTACACTAAGCTGAGATTATTCTTTTTAATTGTTATAATATTTCTACTTTTCCATAACTTTCCATTTATCTACCTCTCTATTAGCATATGAAAATTCTGCCGAACTCAGTATTATCTTTATGTCCTCATGCAGCTGTCTTAGGGGAAGAGGCTCCCCTCCCCTGCACCAAGGAAGGAAGGAACCAGTCCTGTTTTCCAGCCCCAGGTATTGGTTTTCATCAACACTTGAAGGTAGCACTTGAAAGCCCCATTAGTGCGGGTGTTCAAGGATAGGCTAGACCTGCACATGGTAGGCATGTCATCAGTGGAGCCAGCTGAAGCCGGGGGTCAGACTAGATGACCCAGGAGACCCTTCTGAGTCACTCTGTTTCTATGTAAAGAGGAAAAGAATGTCTTCCAGGTTCATATCTTACTAGTGCTATTCCACTGTAATAACACCATCTTCATCATTCTGTCCAGTAACAAACATTTTCCAGTCAGATTACAAAAAGTGAAAAGAATAAATAATCTTACTGCCCAAAAGGTATAGGAAAATATAAGATAGTATACATGAATGCAGTCATAAAATCTAAAATGAAAGGATTCATCGTTTTAATGGAGAGATGGTTAGCAATCCTTTTCGGAAGATTATGAAAACTCGGTTACATGCTTCTGTGTTTGGACTGCAATGCTAAAAATAATGCATGGAACCATTCTGGAATGGATCTTAATATTTCAGATAGCTATAGTCTATAATGGTACTTTGTGGAGAGCTATTTGATTTCTGTCCTGCAGCTAGAGGGAAAAGAATGTTTAGGGCTTGTACACTGAAGATGTTGTTGATGATGATGCCTTTGGTCTGGTAGCTATAGATTTTGTCTAAATAGGAGGATGTGTTCAACTTAAAGGGTGGGGGTGCACACGCAACAGCACTGCACTCCCATGTCAAAGCAGCCAGTCCAAGAATCATAAGAGATTCACAAGATATGCAATCACAGTTTTATGTGTGGCTTGAGGAAATATAAACTGTCACATGTTTTCAAGGATGTTGAAAAAATCAGCGGTTTTTGTAAAACGCACCTTTCATTTCTCTCAAGAGGAGGCTGAATATAGAGTTGCTCCTCCACAGGCAAAGGTCTCATTCCATTCATGAAAGAGACTCTGCTGCCCTGGAACCTTCCGCAAAAGCAGGGCTACGGGGCCTCTTTCAGCCCATGGGTTGAATTCAATTTTGGGGATGCTCTTGGGAGCTGCATTCCAGGGTGGAGGAGGGCCAAAAGCAAAACAATGTATGTTAGCTTAAAGTACTTACTGCTTATAATAATTTCTTGGGGGAGGGGGGTCATTAGAATGGGAATGGGGAAAGCACACTAAAGCTGAGAAAAGTCCAATCAGTGGTGAGGAGGAAGGGGTGGAACCATACGAGGAACTCCAGATCATCAGATTGGGACCCTGGGAGGGCCAGACTGGGTCCATGGAACTGAGGTTTTGCCCCTTCTCACCAGAGGAAGTGAGAGCAGGCTAGTTTTGCACATTTTTTCTTCCCTCTATAACTCCAGGAGACCATGCATGTGTGATGCACAGAAACCACAAAGAAGCAGTAGGGTTCCTGGAAATGAAGCACAGTGAGCAGGAGTTCAGGCTTAGCCTGGGCCTTGGAAGAGGTGTCCCCAGGTTCAGCCCTGAAAGAGGAAGGGAGTTCTGCACCTTGAGTTGAAACTGAGAATCCACCTAATCAATGGGTCCCCCTAACTCAGGTGCTTGCCAGCATGGTGTCCACAGTCACCCTCAGTGGAGCCTGCAGCTGGTCCACTCTTCACTGGGTGGTAGGAAACCAGGCCCTCCTTTCCCACTGCTATTAGCATGGCCCTGGGTAAGTTAGCCCTTCTCTGCTGCTTTCTTGATCACAGGTGCCGCTTCTCTACTATGAGTGGCAGCAGGGAAACAGCAGTCCTGCTCCACTGTCAACCTTGGCAGTAGGGGTGGTGGACAGCTTAAGGCCTCCTGCTGTGATCAGCATCATTGGAGCAGATTTTAACCCACCCATCCCCAGCAGTCCTGCTCAAGATCAGTTTCCACATTGTTGATAACTGAAAATAAACAGTGATCTTGACCGGGAAAATAAGTGGACAAGATGACCCTGCCGTGATCTCAATGCAGGCAAGATAGAAAGCTGGATCAGGCTTGCTAGTGGGTGGGGAGATTTGTGTGAGTGTGTGTGTGTGTGTACACATGTGTAGGAAGTGCATTCTTAATTTGTGGGATTCTGTCCCATAGGTTGTGGCAATGGCCACTAGCTTAGATGGCTTTGAAGGAAGATAAGATGAAACTGAAGGACAAGACTATCAATGGGTATTGCACATGATGGGACCTTGAATTTGGAAGCCATCTGAATATCAGTTGATGTAGTGCCAAAATTGGACAGGACTATTCCCTTTGTGTCCTGCTTGTGGACTTCCCACTGGGGCATCTGGGTGGCCACTGTGGAAACAGGATGCTGGATTAGATGGGCTGTTTTGGGCTAACATTACAATCACTCCCTGGCTGCTTTTGGGTTCATGTCTTTGTGGTCAGTAGTTCCCCAGTTGTCCTAAGTTTGTACAATATCTTCTGAAATCCTCCAGGAGCATGAAAAGACCCATGTGGAATCGTTATAGCCTCGACAATCACAGAGCAATGAGACAGCAGGACAGAGAAATGAGTTCACTCATGGATTGGCATGCATTTCCTGCGTTGGTGGACATAAACTGCCACTGTCACTCCCATCTCTGTGTCACAGTCATAAAAGAAATCATCATTTTCATCTCCCATGCTCACTAAAGATTCTTGTGCATGCCTTCTACCCCGGGAATGGGCTAAATGTACAGCCCACACACTTCTGAGATGTTCCCAGATGTTAGATGCCAAGGAAATGTTATTCCCCACAAATGGTGATGAAGCAGAAGCAGCCTTGGCCATACCTAAAAACAAACTAGCAGGCTGAACGTCCGTGACTGTTCTGAAACTACACAGATGAATCAGTAATTAAATTGAAAATGATTAGCCAACTGATTTAATTGATACATCTAAAACCATATGTGCATATCAACTTACAAATGTTAACTCACACTGATGACCATCTGCACAAAAAAGATAAAAGAAAAGAAAAGGCCACTATAAATCTCCTTTTTCCTTAATGCAAGAGTGACATTTTAAGAGATCCAAGAACTAGTCAGGCTAGTACCTGAGAAGAAGAAAGCAAGTAACAAAATCCAAAGTTGGTCAATACTTGTCTTTGGAACCAAAATTCATCCCAAATATGCAAGCTTTCAAGTTCTCCAGAACTCTTAATGAGGTTCAGTATTTTAAAAAGTAGCATTCAGCAGCAGTATCCGATGTTATTCACCTGAGGCGAGTGTTTTCCCTTCATGGGGGCATCTTTGCTATGCCCACTTCAGTGTCAGATGTTCTGTAAAGAGTGTTCTTCCTTCAACTCTCTTTTCTCCCATGTCTCGCCCCAACTTGTATGTGTGAGAATGGCTTTGTTCGGTGAGGCCAAGACCTACCTGGGCTGGCAACCTCTTCCAAAAGCAGCCACTCAATTGCCTTCCTCTCAGCTACTCAGTAGACTGGGTTAAAAATAGAAGAATTTAAAAACGGAACACTTTTTAAAATGTTCATTTAAATGTTGAATTTGTTGATCAAAACAGAGAACAGAAGGCTGTGATCTGGTGTAAAGACATTTAAATGGGTACCTCTTAAGATGGGATGGGGGGCATTGGGAGCTGCCTGTGACCATCCATTTGTTCCTGGAAGAGAATTCTAAACTAAGATGGAGTGTGGAATGTTTCTGGTAATACGTTATTTTAGTTTCTAAAAAGTAGGACAATGCTTCTAGTGTCAGAGAAGGAACTGATTTGATGGTTGTTCAAGAACACTGCCCTTCTCTTAATGTCTTTGTTCTTCTTTCTCTACTTTTGATTATTGGATCTCTCAGCTGACCACAGCATCCTCCTGGAACGCCTCCATGAGTGGAGAATTGGAGTACCTGGGGCACAGGCGTCCCACTCCTACTAGCACAATCAGCTCTAGAGAACAGCCCTGGGTGACTGTGGCTCAGCCTCACGGCATCTGAGTGGCAGGGTGTCACAGAACAATGCTGTTTAATATTCATATGAAGCCATTGGGAGTCACCAGTATGCTGATGACAACTAGCTCTACTTCTCTGTGAAATCAGGATTGGGAGAGACCATGCACCTCCTGGAGACAGTTATGGCTTGGAAGAGGCTTGTAAACTGAAGCAGAATCCCAATTAGGCAGAGGCCTTATGGGTTGGTAGTTCCCAGATCTGTGCACTGGGCTGTTTGCCTGTTCTACATGTGCTTCCACTCCTTTTGAAGGTGTAGGTAAATGGTTTAGATCCACTTCCACTCTTCTAGATCCACTTCTGTCACTGGAGGCTCACCTATTAACAACTTCAGATCACAACAATGAACAAAGCCAATGTTAAGCTCATAATTAGACTCCTGTGATTATGCATTCTATATAGGACTGCCCGTGGGTCTGCTGCAGAAGCTGTAGCTAATATAGAATACAACTGCTGCAGTGTTCATGGGATACCCATATATGTTCACATAACATCTGCATTAAAAGAGCTGTACTGCCTATTTAACAGCTACCAAGCCATGTTCCAGCTTATGTTATTGTCCTGCAAAGCCTTAAGCAATTTGGGACCACAATATTTTGCCTTTCCGTATATATATCCATCCAGCCTTTAAGATTCTCAGGGGACTTGGGGTCAGTCATTCTAAAACTGAACCTAATATACATAATACCTCAATAGCAGGCCTTCTCAGTAGTGGCACTGCCCTTTGGAAACCTCATCTTTGTGCATTTTGGGAATTAGTAAATGTGGCTTCTTTCAAACACCTCTGGAAACAAACATGCCCATCCAGGTCTCATCTGCCTTCTAATTGAATTAATCATGCACCTCCAATTTTCTGCTTCTGCATAGTTTAGTAATACTGTAGTAGGTAGTGGTAGTAGTAGTAGTAGTTCTTGTTGTCGTTGTTGGAACTGCAATTGTTTTTAAAATTCTAAGTTAAATGTGATTTTAGTACTAACCTTTTGCATGTGATTTTAACATTTATCTGTAAACCACTTAAGTTTTCTTATATTAGCAATATAAAAATACTACAAACAAATAATATGTGCAATGTATGCACAGTCTAAACCTTGGAATAGTCCTACAGTTTTACACTATTAAAATCTCTTTAATTATGATTCACTGAAATGTTGCTACAAGGGACAGCAGAATAGCTGGGGCTAAGGCAAGGAAACTCAGCCTGAGGCCAAATTCAGTTTTAGAGTAGTTCCTCGGGAGCCATATACCAGTAGTGAATAGGGCCAAAGGTAAAGGAGGTGGGACCATTTTTTAAAGAGAATATTGTAGCTTGAAGTACTTACTAACAGTAACTGGGCCCTAAAGAGCAGCATTTCAGCCTTTACAATGGCGAGCAGAGGTTGCATGAAAGCCAGGAGACTACTAATCATCAGTAGATGGAAGAAAATGGTGGGGTCAAGGAAGGGATACAGGCCACCAGGGAGACCCTGGAGGGACCCAAGAAGGCCAGCTTTGGCTCCCGGTCAGAAATGGCCTACCGATGACCCAAAGGCTTGTCCTATACGTAGGACAGCTTCTGTGCATTGAGGAAAATATCAAAAAGCTGGCAGATGTTGTCGTGAAATAGTGCCAGCTCTTTCAACAAAATGTGATGCATGAATGATGAGCAGTCCTAGTGGTGGCATAAAGTATTTTTTCACTGGCATTAAAAATGGCCTCACACATCCCAAGGATCCACTGTGATTGCTTTTGACAATATGAATTAAGTACCAAATATAGGTTGGACCAAGGGAGGAGGCAACTTGGATGCTTGTGCAAAAGAATATTTTAGGTGTGCTCAATCCATTATGTGGCCAATGCCTACTGAAATGTCATGCCAGGAATAGGGGTAGAATAAAATTACAGTGGCTACTGTGAGCAGAACAAATAATGCAATCTAAGGAAGAAAAATCATGCTGTTTGCTTAATTGATGCAGGACATAGCATTCAACCTTTCTTGATCGTGGATCCGGATTTTTAGGATGACACAACATTTATTTTTGCCTATGGTTTTCTCAGTTGACCATTAAAAACTTGCTCTGCAAATTGCATATGCAGCTTTTGCTGTGTCCCAGACTTCCAGCAGTGACTTGGACATGGGCTCAGAGGAAGAGGGGCCACTACTCTCAGCAGTTGCTGATCTTTGCCCCACCAGGCTTCTGGGGACCTGCATGACAGGGAAGAGGCTTCTGGGCTGGAGTGACTCTGCCCACCAGGCTGGCCATTGGGTGCACCAGGCAGCACAGCAAAGAAGAGGACCTCCCATGTCAGTGGTGCTTGCTCCATGGTCCTCCCTCCCAACCCACCCTCTGATTACTCCTGGGCCTGGGTTCCAGCTTCCTGGCTCGCACTTGTCTGCTGCAAATAACCCAGCCCTGGCTGGCCAGGACCTGTCATGACTACCCTGGAGGATCTCTTCTCAGAGGTGGAACCTGAACCTTCAGAATGAGGTGTCCCCACAGAACAGGTTCCCTCAGAGGATGGTCCCATCTGTTCTTTGCTCTTTTGTAAATTCCTCAGGAATGTTCTTTAAGTTGCATTTTGAATTTAAGTGTCAGTTTGTGATCTTTCTCTGCTTTACAGTGGTTTTTATTAGTTATTATTTATTCATTTATTTTAATGTTTATATACTGCCCAATTCTCTGTTTACAAGAGATTTAAACCTGCAATAGTTAAAATATTGACAAAAACAAAGGTAAAACTAATCTGGGAAGGCCTGAAGGAAGAGATACTTCCTCTTGAACATAGAAATCTGGGATATCAATGCACCTCTCCTGGCAAGCCATTCAATATTTTAGGAGCAATGACTGAGAAAGTTCTTGAGGTAGTTGGCATTAATCTTACAGAAACAAACTTCAGAAGATTATCCCCAGAGGACCTTAGCAAGTAAGGTGGAATATATGGGCAAAGGTGCTCTGGAAGGTATTTTGGACTTGAGCCATGAAGGGCTTAAAGGTAATTACCTACACCTTGTATTGCATCCAGAAATTTATTGGTGGCCAGTGCAGAGCCTTTAATATTGGTGAAGTATTTCCATCATGGAAGTCTTTCCATGATGTCCTCATTGCCATTATAATTCATATTGTTCATGGTCACTACCACAATCTGCTCCTGGTCTTGTTTTGGCAGCCAACATACGGATTGTTCAACTTCTGCTTCCAATTACAAGTCTGTTTGAGTTCTGTATTGACTGTCTTATGATGCCCATGTCTACATTCATCCAATCAGTTGCCTGAAGTATGTGATGCAAATAAACAGATGGCCGGCCTCAGAGAATTCTGTCAGTCATTCTCCTGCTTCATCTCTGGCCACTGAGCCAGATTTTCCCACAGCATGTGATTCTGCTTTGTTTCCTGTTTGATTTTATTTTGCAATCCAGTCACCTATGATAATCAGCATGTCTTGCTTTGGTGTGTTATCAAATTCCTCTTCGACGCTTGCACAACAGTTTTCAATTTGTTTTTCTTCAGAATCTGCTGTTGAAGTGTAGGCATGAATGATGGTTCGGACTGATATGACTAGGTTGGACTTTGCATTATGACCCCTTGTTACCTGAATTACACCTTTACAGTCATTCCATTTCCTCTGAGTTTCATTTCTGGCTTCCAACCTGGGAGTCCCATCTTCTGGCACATTTTATTGATTCATTTGAGATTGTGTCGACATAGGGTTTCCAAGGTATGAAATATTCAGAAGTGGTTTACCATTGCTTTCTTCTGTGCAGTACTAACCGGAGTTAGCTTAGGTCTTGCTATTGTCTTTGAAAGATCCTTCATCAGTGTTGCCTTCAATTATCACAGCTGCCCAGTAGCTGTCCTTCATGAGCCCTTCCAGCCCCTTCAGCATTGGAGAGATCCATTCTTTTCAGCTGACTTCTTAAAAGGGTGAGTGCTTCTTAGTCTGGTGTCTCAGCATTGACGATCACTCCTTGGGTTACCCTGCTAGGAGACAAAGGGAGTGAGGGAGTCTGACCTCCTGGCACCACTGCTCGTGGCTTCTCTGACACTCTCAGATCCCTTACCATTTTCAGGTGTGCATCCAACAGGGACTTCTGAACATTAGCAGAAACTGTCCGTTGGTGTCTCATCCACCCCTAGGCTAAGGGGTAGCCTGCAGGAAAAGAATAGGTAGATATGTGAAATTAATCATTGTGTGAAATTACCACTGTGTTCCTTTGCCCTTTGTGATACTCTTAGGGTCCCCAGGATACAATACTGCAGTGACAGGAGATGCTCCAGCTGGTAGGAGTCCCCCACTAGAACCTAGATGGGCCTCCTGCAACCTGATCCTTCCAGATGTCTTGAACTACAATGCCTGTCAGTCTCAGCCAGTATGGTCAATGATCAAGAATAAAGGGAAATATGGCCCAAACATCTGGAAGGCACCAGTTCACGAAAAGTTGGACTAAATTCTGGATTTAGCATTCACTTCCTGCCACCACCTGTTCTTTAGATCAGCTTCCATAGAGTTCTTATCTCCTTCCATGGCATATGACCTATGCTGACATTAAGCATGATATAAAGTTTCTTCATAGTATGCTTGTTGATTAGCTCTTTCTTGAACTAGTTACCTTTCTCCTCCTTTCCTCAAGCCACTTTCTCTTGCTATTGATTATTTCTCATTCCTTTGCCTATACTGCTCTCCTTTTATTAGCTGTCTTTGCCCTGGGCTCCCTGTTCTTCAACTTCCCTTCATCCCAGGACCTCTGAATGATTTTAATCCTGGGCAAAATGATTATTTTCCCTTCTCTCAAAGAACTCTGCCTGCAAACCTTGTCATTCTTCATGCCCACGAAGCCAGTAAGATGCAAAGGTTTCACTGCCACAACTAAAACTGAGACAAAGAAGTCCAATAGGAAAAGAAATAACTTCTTGCAGAACACTTTCTAGAGTTTGTTCTCTTGACACAAGTCTGAGAACTTTCCCTGGATTATAGATGTACCTGAGAAAATGTGTCTCCTTTATATCACAGGCTGGTACAGAGGTAATATATCACAGAAATTTTTGAAGTGAGTGTGCAATAAAGCTCTAAAATTACTCTCTTGCTCCTTTTTATCTCTGATGCATGAATGTGTCTTATGCAGTGTGGTGCAGCTATGACTATTTACTAATGTATTCAAATTTATGCAATGAAAATGCACTTAGAGTGCAATTAACATACCATTTCTGTTCATTTAAAATGCCAGTTTAATTAAAGTGCATAGACAATGTCATCTGTTAACTCCATCTAATTTCCTGTAGTTTTTTGGTTCGGTTTGCCCTCTTGCGTGAACATCTCAACGACTATTATTACTTATTATTGGTTAATGGTGACATTCAGTAGTTCATGCATGAACTCCTGAAGACCAAATTTAAGAGCACGAATAATCAAGCTGTAAAATTAGTAAATTTAAAAGTGCTTTGTCACTTACATGTTCTTGGGCTAATAACAATAAATGACTTTGTACCAGAAACACACTGTTCAAAGCATTTTGCAGACATAGGTCATTACTCCAATATTTTCGGTGTTAAGGGACAAGTGATATTTGGAAAATCTTTGCAGTATGGGCGCTCGGCTAAGTTTCTCTTAGCCTTCAGGGGTAGTTCTGAAAAACCCAAAGCTGATTAAAATGTTGGTACTTGGAGGCACAAGGGAATATACTCCTTTTAGATATGATTAATCCCAACATTCCTTGACTCTGTAGCTATTCGGTACTACAGAGATTTATGCCAATGCTCTGTTGGATACAGGATTTTCCTACCAAAGGAGGAAGGGGACTTTCAAAAACAGAATGGCTCCATTCGCAGAAGTTCCTTCTGCCTATTTTGTTGAGAAAGCCTCGTGTGCTCACCCCCATTTAGCAGGATTTTCTGACACTCTGCGCAGCATTTCCAGGAGGCTGGAATAGCTACTGTGAGAAGGAGCAGATGGGGAAAACCTCCTCTGTCAGCACTGTTGATGCAGCATAAAACAGAATCCAACCCTAGAGAGGTTTGCATGAGACCTTCACTGCGGCCTTTTCAGCACCAGGTGAAGACTTTATTTTCTTAGACAGTTTACTGCTTCAGATTGTATTGCTTTTTACAATTTGGGGTAGTATTTTAAATCTTTGCTTGACTGACAGTTTTATTTCAGTTTTTATTTCTGTGCCAATATAGAAATAAATAAATGGTCTTCTAACTGAGCTTTTCCTAGTTACCATGTGACAGCTGGTAACTAATTCCCAGTGCCTTATTCATTCTACTGATAGAGGTCCATTTCAGTAAGGAACTGGGAACAGGTATAAAACATCAACCTCCTCCAACATGGTGGGTTGCACACATTCTATCCCCTGTTCCCCTTCAAATACGCTTAATACCCCATCTTTCAGTTAGATATGCTCCACCTTCTCTCCCATTCTCTCATCACATGCCACTAAATGCCAT